CACCTGGATTATTCCGCTCTCTCAGTGGTACCAGAGCTTACGTTTCCCACAAGCAAGTTTTGTCGAATGTAATAGAGATGTTATAAAAAGCCTTAGTATATATATTGTATAATTTTTCATAGTCGATTCTTATATTTAAAATCGTAATACAATCTTAAGATGTCAGAATTAAGACAATTATAAAATCGTATTAGCATCTTAAGACATTATTTAAGATGCTCTTGAAATAAGAGAACCGACTATGAATTATACCAGTCTTGGAATTATATTCATGAAAAAATAAGCAACAAAGTGGTTAATCATTTCTGATTATTTACAAACTTGTTTAATGCACAAATGTTATAAATATTGAAATCGTAGAAAGATACATAATAAAATTTAGTATTATAACAATCGAATTTTTTCACTGTAAAAGAACAATAAATTCCGAGTTCTAAAGAAGAAATATGTACTTTGTTCTAAAAGAAGAATTTTATGTACTATCCTGCCTCCGAGTGACCCCGATTGTTTTCAACAGTACGATAAATGAAAGGTAGATTAAAAGAGATTTATCAAACGCGCACGAAAGGCTCGGGCAGAGAAAACACGGTGACGAAATGAGCAAAGCATATAAATGCAATTCTGTTTCGGAAAAAAACGCTTTTATCGACTGGTATGACCTTTCGACATAATCGATTCAATTGTAACCAGAAGCATACCACGGACAGGAAAGCTGAGTTACGTACACCGCACTGAACTCCCCCCCCCCCTCTCTCTCTCTCTCTCTTTCTTTCTCTCGCCGCCCTCGTTCACGGCACTCCGGGATCGTTCACGGCGCGCACCAGCGCCGGCACTTCGGAAATTGATTATCGCTCGACGTGTAATGATCCATTACGCGGACTCGAAGTGCGGCCGAACGGATGTAACGGCGGAGCAAACTGACAATCACTGTCCGGGGCGGTCGTGAATTATGAACCGATAATCCACGGTTGCCGACGACGCCCCGGCAATGGGATTTACGCGTTTTATGTCGTCCAGTCCGCGAGTTTCTTGTGCTAGCACAATGTCGAATCGTATCTGGAGCGAGTTCTATTCGAGACGCCCACGCGATCATCGAAAAGAGGTAATTTAGCTGTAAATTCTGCTAAAGTCAAAGATGCTTACTTACATTACTTATATCGCAATCTTTTACTCTTTTATAATGGCCTATATATATTTTTATTTTTAACTCACTTGAATACATATGAGTGTACGAAATAATATATAGAGAGATTTAGGGAGAGGTTTATCATCGAAAGAATATTTAAGGAGTAACCTTTCTCGAAAGCAAAACGAAATTATCCAGACGGACGATAATTTCTCAAGCGTTTTATAAATAATGTATGATTAAGAAAATTAATAAATGTATGTTTTTGAAGAAACCTACTTTGTGAATTTTCCAAGGTTTAAATTTGATTCATATAATATTATATCCCATTCGCGCGTATATTTGAATATGATGACTGTTTAATTTGCATCATAATCAAATAAGATTGTTTATGATCTACACAGCAGTATTTATAGTTCGAGCTTATATTTAAATCATCTTAAATCTTACAGTAGCGAAATTCCATAACTTATACGCTCATAATGATAGTAGCACAGATATTTTATACAGTTAAATGAATATATAATGACTGCATAATAAGTTACAGAATATAGACTCGGTACAGATCATTTTAATAGTAACATTGCAAACATGAAAGCAAACTTCTATGGATAAAATACTATATGATTATTTCATTAACTAGATGAAATCTTAAAACTACCAAAGATCAAACTCAATTTAAATCATCTTAAATACGAACTTAAGTACGATCTTACTACAGCATAGATAATTTCGACAATATCACAGTAACATTACAACGTTCCAGCAAACGTTGCTGCAAACTTCTGAACTGTATGGATGAAATATTTGCATGATTATGTGTTATAAATGGAATCTTAAAACCACACCTATCAGGGACCAAACTTAAGATGATCTTAAATATAAGGTCGTATTATGAATATCACCTATAAATAAGAAAATTTTCACTTAGTTAATTTTACACGATTTTAATGAATTATCAAAATGCAAGCTCCAATTTATAAAGTTCAAAGATAACAGGTCATTGCAAGGCTCTCCGTTAGAGGGTAGCAGCTGGTGGATGCACTCGTTGGCAGTCGCTAAATACAAAGGACCAAACGCGCCAATCGGAAGGCTGCTACGATATTCGAGGAAGGTGGGGTGCGCGTTTGCATCCGCGCGGGTGACACAGGCGACGACTTTGGGAAAGCAAACTGTGTGAGAAACTACGTCGGGCTGACGCATGCTGCACCGTCGATAATGGACCATGTATCGGTACCGGCAATTTCGAGGGTGAGAATAACGAGAAAGAAACGAGGGTCGTCCTCTTTCTTTTTTCTATCCTCCCTGTCGTCGTTGGAAAAAAAAAAAGAATTACGAGCGGAAAAAATGAGAGCGATTTCGACTGACGGGCGCGGGAAGCACTGTGGAACGGTAAAGGGGGAGCAGAGTAGACGATCGATTATCGCCAAAGGAATCCGGGAGTCCGAAACCCTTTATTTCGGTAGAGTCCAATGATGCCGGTAAGGCCCCGTCATGCTGGCCTGTTGTCCCACTTCCGTCGTTTTTTTTTTTTTGCACGGTTTGAGGGTTGTGACGCCGACGACGGAGTCTGTCGCAAATTAGCGACGTTTAAAAGGGTGGAGTCGACTCGCTCCCAATTCTTACTAACTTTTCGTCTTCCCATCTTCCATGACGCGGCGCACCCCGGCGCGGTCCAGCGCGATTTGGCGCGCGATGTCCCGAGAGTTTAAACTATACTACTAACTAATAGCATAGCCGGGGAGCGAGCCCCGACAATGTGGGCACACACCGCGCGCCTTGGGTAGACAGTTTACCTAATCGTCGGGGTCTGAAAAAAGAGCGGTCGCCGTACCGCCCTAACCACAGGCCCTGGGCCCGCGGCGGGTCAGCTCCTACGCGTTTCTTCCTGTTATCCGTACCGGTTCCTCCCGGCCGGCAGCGGAGTTCTTAATTTTCCGAAAATTTATCGCTCGACTTTTAATCGTTCCCTCTGACACGACGGCCGCGAAGGAAGAACTGTATTACTTACATAAGTTGAAAACATATACATAGAAAACAAAGTGTCCGCGAAGTACATACAATGGTGTATATAAGTGCATATAAATCATATATATTGTATATGATTATATATTAATTATATTTTTTTTTCATATATATATATTAGGTGTTGGAATTAATTCGTAGCGTTTTACAAGTGATGGGAAGTACTTTCATTAATGTATTTTTTAATGCTCATGTGAAATAAATAACATTCTTTCATTAAAAACGCTACGAATTAATTCCAACACCTAATAAAATCGTATATATATATATATATGAATATATATTTTATTTCCTATATTACTAAGATTTCCGGAATTTACACATACACGTTCACCTGCATCCACTTTGACAATAAGTCTCAGATAATAGAGATACAATCACATGTACACGCTATTTTTAAGATATTAAATGTATCTCACTACTTACAGATATGAAAGAATGTATTATATATCATACAGTATATAAGTAAAATTTGATACAATATATTCGTTGATAAATGATTGTGTTGAGCAAAGGTAGAAGAATGTAAGCCGCAAAGCATCAAGACTCCACGAAGATTTCTACAAGAATGTTAATCACTTAAATATACATATACATAAGCTCGATAAATATATGTTAGGTATTAAATTCGTAATTTCTCTATCGCAACTTGTCTTTAATACCTTCCGATTTCTCACGACATTCGCCTAACTTTCGACCGATCTGCGGAACCAATATTTCGCTCCTCACCCTTTCTCGCTGGTAATTACTTCACGGTTCATCCTCATCATCATTATCTAAAGGTGACCAAAATTAGTGTTCAGAAGCCTGAAAGAAGATTCACAGTGCCCCGCTTGTCCGTGGTTTGTGCGTAGCGGTCGCAACAACTCCTGGAATTCTGGACGAACCTCGTGGTCCCTGTGGGACCCACGAGGTCGCCGGGGCCCTGTGACCCTTAGATAAGGCTCACGCCCTAATAAGAGGGTACACGCGGAGCACCGTGAGGGGACCGTGGCAGCTTCTCTTCCTTTTCCCCGTCCTCTTTTTGCCCTGCAATCGTAGCTCGAGGCCTCGCCCGACTGAGCGATCTAATCCACCGGGTAATCTGTGGTTAACGTTTTAGAGCCCCAAAGGTGGACTTGGAAAGAGGGGGGGGGAGGGGGGGATTTCATGACATTCCATGGCGCTAACTCCCACAATTGCGAAGTCGCTTGCTACCTCGAATTCATCTCGAGTTTTCGCCCCTTTCACACGCCATGTCCGTCTTTTACTTCGTGCATTCTATTTACAGGATAGGATATAATGTAACTGTAATATCAACTACATAATATCTAATCCATATAATGTACCTATGAAAAAATCTATAAAAATATTCACACGATATATACGCACAAATCGTAGCATATAATGACGTGCTACTATAGAATATTTTGTGATATTATATTAAGTAATAAAGATTGTAATAAGAAAGATTGTAATATGTAATGTAAAATAAAATGTAAAAGAAAAGTCTAATATAAAATGTAAGATTACATTATTATTCAGAACACAATTAGGTTATCGTGATACAAAGCAATGCGTAAAGATATTTTGAGATTTCTCGGATGAAATTGAAACAAAGTTTTTTTTTTTTAAAAAAAGAATAAAGTTGCAGAGATCAATATCTGAAAAGAACAACCGTCCTGTTTTTATTAGACAAAATGAAAAAGGATCGTCCATGATACCATAAAATAGCATCGGGGATCTGTGCGAAATAGTATCCTCGATTTAGGAAAACGATTAGCCTCTCTTCCGTGGGACAAGTCGCTATGCTCTGGGCAGAATACCAGGAACCGTAACATTGTGATTATTGTAATTAAATCGTCCCCCCAGAAGAAACGATAAAGGGTACAACAGCCGGACGGTCCTTCATTCGTCTTCCTTCTCTCACAAAAACTCATTTTCACTCCATCTCTTTTCAATTCCACCTTTCCTATCTTACGTTCCTTCGGCTATCTATTATACTTTTGAAATGTATCATTTCTTTGTATCTTCAAACAACCTTATCGACGATAACGGGAGTACACAATTTTCTTCACATTTCATGTCGACGTGATTAGACTTTCGAATCCTAAAATTATACAGAGACAGACAATTAGTGCGATTATTGAAATTTCGAAACGCATATACATTTGATAATTTTGTTGCAAAATTGAAACAAACATCATCTTGACATCATTTAACAGAGAGAAAAAAGATAGGAAAATTTAAAACTCTCTTTATTTAAACATGATTATATAAAAAAAGATAAATATTGTTATCATAAGCAGTGATGAAAAAAATTATAAATTCAAAAATTTTTAAAAGTTATAAATGATAATAGACTCTTTGTTTATAATCGATATAAATCATATAAATTCAACAAAGGCGATCGTGTTTTATTATTGCATCGGATTTGTCAATATTGAACCCGCTAATTTAATTTAAAATTACGTGGAAAAGGCGGGTTATCGACACGTCTATAAGCAGAAAACGAACAAACAATGTGACGACAAGGTTCGAAATTAGCTCGATGATAAAGGAGCAAAGGGAGACGCAACGTCTTGTTTGCACGGCGTTTCATCACGCTTTATTGTCTGTGGAAGGTGCGAGAATTAATTAAAGTTAAACAGTACTAACTGACCGGCAAGCGCGTTAACTGCCGGCTATTGTCGGGAAAGTCGGGAATGATGGTTAGCCTTGTTCTCGTGGATCCATATAACGACTTGCGTCGAAAAGGGATCGCTGAGGGAACTACTTTTTGTTTACTCTCGCGAGATTAAATTAAACCTGGATACGTCGAACACATTCTTTATCTCTTTCTTTCTCCCTCTTTCTGAACGAGTCATACGCAATTACTCTGCAGGTCTTTAATTAGAGCGATGTACGAATTACATAAGCAAGATAAAATTTGTACAATTTATAATGGAAACACATACATTCTCTTCATCAAGTCAAGTACAGTTAAAAAAGTAAAATTATATAAACAAATCTAGAAATTATACTAGATTAGATTCAAGTTTCAAAATAAAAAGATTTTTAAAACTATGGGATTGTCGTTAACATGAACGAACCATTTCGTTTGGAATAATTTTTATTTTCAATGAATAACAACAACATTTAAATATACATTACGATCGACTAGCGTGAGGTATTCCCTTGTTCCTCTCATTCTATTTGGTATGATCGTACAATAACAGATAACCGCGCTGAGTCCGATAATATTCCAAACCGCTTTAAATGCGCTTTTATACATTCAGCGCGCCGATAAGAGCACAAGCGACTTCATCGGACTGAAGAACGACGAAACTACACGACAGAAGAAGACAGTTTACACCTACAGACTATCTACACGAATATAAATATTTACAACGATCTTAAGTTAGTGGTAACTCAACGTGCGAGTCGAAACTGGGAAACACGCGCGTTAAATGAAATTCAGAAAGAAAGAATCTAAACATACAGGGTGTATCAAGTATCTTAATTCTTATAACTATAAATTTATTAACAAATTTAATTCGATATTTTAACTAGAATTTAATTGGACGTTAAATATTATTGATCTCATGTTTTTCGATAACCTGGCAAACACCAACTAATAGTAGCATACTAATTATAACTGTTAGTTATAATTTCCTATTCAACAATATGACTGTTACATACAATTCATGTGTTATATTACAATTATATTATTGAATAGGAATTAATCGAGTTATGTTATTGTTAGTTGGTGAGAAATGTTTTAATTTGAAAATGCTGTTAAAAGTTTTTAATATAACATTAGTTGAATATCTATAAAAAATTTTTATAGAAAATTAATTATTAATATTCGAGATATTGAGACTATTTAGCTTCCAAAGTTTCCTAATTAAATACATCGAGAGAAAAAAAACTGACCTCCTACTTGTCGAACAATTTATATCATAGAGAAATTATATAAGAAAAATTGTGAAAATTTTGTATACACCCTGTACGTGAAAGACATGGGTGGTCTACGGATACTATATATACTAGTATCTTTTTCTAGATTAAAAGAAAAAGAAATCTGTGAGACCGTTTGCAGGTCGCCAGTGGCATCGAAGAGAAAGGTGGTGGCTAATCGGACTAACTGGCCAAGAAATGTCCTCCTACTCCCTTCTCCCGCTCTTATCTGATCTAAATTTCTAATTTTACGGGAAACGGAGATATCTAACCGGAGAGACTCGATTAACACCGTCGATATACACGACAGGTACGGTAACGTCCTCTCGACACAGATCGTTGTCTCGTCGAGGAACAATTAATTATCTCGACGCCTCGTGACCGAATCGAGAGTGTTTTAAGAATTGGATACCATAAATGCTTTTTAAATCCGATAAAATCCTTTAGGAACGGAGACTCTAATCATGCGGCACAATTGCAATTTACGCGCTATTAAATCTCTCACTCGTGTTCTCTGCTTCTAATGTCACGATGTGACATTATCATGCATCCAATAGTAATATGTATGACACGAATTATTTACGGAATTTTGTAAAATAGATACGTAAATTACAAATATTTCGATTTATAAACACATTACGTTTATCCCCCAAACGATCTCATCCGCCCTTCATGGCTTCTAATCAAAATTTCGTGCGACGCTTACAAGTCGTTGAAGACCTCAGATTTTTTTCTGATACGCACGACGAGAATAAATTATGTTGACAGACATCGGAGATCGAGAGTATTCCTGGACTGACAACGATCGTATATGGTAAGATGATACAATTTTGAACATGATGTAATTCTGAATAAATTAAGAATTTAATTTTTGAAGTTCAAGTTTGAGTTTTTTGTGCTATTGTTTGTACCATTATTTCAATATCCTTCACACAATGAGAGGGTTTATCAAACTTGAATCTTGAAAATTGGATTCAAATTTTTATTTTGTTCCGAATTATATCATGTTTCAAATTGTACAATTTTAATTTATTCTGAACGGTACCGATATCTAATGGAAAATAGAAATGGATATACCACTAAACGTAAATTAGAGAATAAAGAAAAAAAATAATTATAATGCGCGATAAAAGTTCGACTCGACGTGCAGCGAATACTGTTTTTGTGTGAATTAGAAGTATACAGCATCTAATAATATAACATATTTCTATAGACATATACAATGGCTGTCCCATTTGTCACAAACATTACAAACATCTGTTATTTTATGATAAAAATCTCATCATAATGCAATTTTTTGTCGGATATTTTATCGCGCTTATCCTTTCATAAAGGATTTAAGATATTCGTGGGACATTGCTCTTGTAAACGCATACACAATTCTTATAAAAATCAAAAGATTCGCTGAATATTCACAAGGATTATTCCTAAACATAATAGCGTAAATATTTGATATAAATATATAAGATGTATATAATCAATTATGTATCTATAATATAAATATTATTAACTATACATTTAAAATATAATATAAATATGATCATTAATAATATTAATCATACGTTTCTACGATATAATATAAACATTTTTCAAATCATATTTACAAAGGGAAGAATATACATGAAAATCTGCGTGCATATAATAAAATAAAATCTCTCTTTTGCACATGAAAAAAAGCGATTTTGCTAAAGTATTTAAAAATTTAACTAAATATAGATCTGAAAATAATTTTGTTGTACCATTAAAACTAAACAGAACGCTCAAGATGGTTGCTAGAATGTCAAATTTCTTGCAATATTGCTCATTATACTTGAACGTCCTACATAATTATTTTAATAGTCCAACGAAATTATTTTCATATCAATAGCTAGCTTTATTTTTTAGATACTTTAACAAACCTGTTTTCTCCATCCAAGTGTTAAAATAGAAAATTTATATTAATGCGTATCAACAACGATTCTCTTGAAACAATCTTGTTTATGTAATTTACTCTGTAGGAAAATAAGATAGACATGTGAGAGAAAGATAATTTTCGAAAAATTTTAACTTCCTGACTAGACATAACAGACTCTTAAGCGCAAATACAAATTATATCAAGTTAATATCTTTTAATTGTACTTGATAGCAGTCTGCAACGTCTCTATTTAAAATACTATTGTGCTATTGCATAAAACCTCAAGCCTATCCTTGCTAGTTTTATGTCATTACTAACGTCAATAGTAACTATTTCATTGTAATTTGCGTTCGTTTAAAGTTCAAAGTTGTAATTTTGCTCTTTATAAATATAGTGTCATACTGCTGTTGCGTCTCTTTCATTTTGAAAGATAATTTCAGAGTCTTTAGAATACTGATCTAGCATACAAATGAGATTGCGTATGTATTTTGAATTTACTAAGGAAGAAAAAAGAAAGAATGCGCGTGAAAAAATGAACTGTGACTAATAGAAATCTAAGGAATCAAAAATAATATAAAATAGTTATTCAATTATGTTTCCAGAATTAATAATAAGCAAAAAGATCCATAAACTTCAATTGAAATTAATTGAAATTTAATCAATTTTTTGCTTTCTTATAATATTGAAATATAAATTAGCGATTGTTTCGCGTCATATATGAATATATAAAACAATAGACCGATTTGGTTGTAACATTCGAAGCAGTTTTCATGTTGATGCCTTCTTCCTCATACTGTTCGCGTTTAACATGCATGTACAAAAAAGACCTGTGATACTCTGCCTCAGGAATAGTCATAGTAAATGTTGTAATAATAATTATATTTTATTTAAAATTTATAGAATAATTACAAAATATAATGATTCTATAAATTTTAAGTGAAATATAATTGTTACAAATTTTCATAAAAATGTATATATTTAATAATAAAAAAATTTAGTTTTTTAATTATTAATATTTATTTAAACAGAAAATTCCAACACTAGCTTAACATTTGGGAGTTACGATCGTAGATTTGCGTTGCTTGCACTTTTTGCTTCCAATATTTTCGCTTTCTTTCTTTTCAATATACTTATATTTATTTCATTCTGCAGACATTGGGACTTTCAAACAACATGAACAAATCTCATTTATTATACGTTTCTGAGGCAGAACGTCGCACATCTTAGTAACATCTCGTTAAAATTGCGAGCAATATAGGGGGAGAGGAAAGGCGGGGAGCATCAATAGAAAATACAGCTAAGTTGCAACTAAATTTGGCCATTGAATCGGTGGCGTTCATATTGAAGATTAAAAATTATTACCGGCAATTTTTCTCGGCACTCTTGAAGCCAATCCAGTTGGTGCTAGAGCGCACAAATGAAAATATATAATTAATAATATATAACTAAAGTATATAATAATGTGTATAATATAATAATAATAATAATAATAATAATAATAATAATAATAATAATATGAGTTAATTTAATCCGTAGACTTTATAATGCGTAGAAAACGAGAAAGTATAATACAAAGCAAACGCAAAAATGAAATGCACGCAGATTAAAATTAAAAGGGATTATAGTTTCTAACGTCTCATAATATCCTCTATAGTGAAGCCGAGCTTGTGCGTAGTGCTCTTCGGCATTGGTAGGAGACCGCTCACTCGCTCTGCTATTTGTCTAACCTCTGATGACATGATCCTCGAGTCCGACGCTACCGAAGTCTCGATCCTGAGGTCCTGCGGAACGTCCGCGTGCGTAAGAAGATGTGTTTTCAGGTTGCTCCTCTGATTGAAGCTCCGGCCGCATACCGTGCACTTGTGTGGTGACTCCTCCATATGCATGACTTTATGAACTGCCAGAGTCCTACTTTGGCAAAACCCTTTGCCGCACTCGTTGCATTTGAATGGCTTCTCCTTGCTGTGTATATATCTAAAATGTAAAAAAATTCGTCAGCCTGGATTGCCGAACTAGTCTCTTTTTTTTATTACTTAGTTTTATGAATTTTAATGAATTTACACGTCCGATTTATCTCTATACAAACTAACAATAATAATAATAACGATCAACGATATAATATCAATAATGTGACTATATACAATTGTATTATATTAAATGTTGAAGAGAAAATTATAATATTAATATAATGTTATTGTTAGTTTGTATTCTGATGGATATATTCTGATAAAAAATAATTTTATAAGTATTACAATAATTTTTTCTATTTTGTAAATTGATTTCTTTCATATTTGATAATGATCTTTATTTTCGAAACATTAACTTTTTTTCTCCTTTTAACCGATATATAATTGTATTTGGCTTTCATCATCAACAATAAGTTGATGACAGAAATAAATTGATATTTCTTGTTTTCATAGGAATGCGGATGATAGCAAGCATTGATAACGATAACTTATATGACTGACATCGATATTTTTAATCCTTACAAGCGGAATAAAAATAAAATTTTTTGCGTAAACAAATTATTTTAAATTTTTTACGAAAATTTTACATACAATTAATTGCAAAATCATCGAAATCATAGTGATTTTCAATAATGAGAATTTATATACTATAATGATATACAATGATGAGTTACTATGATAAATTACTACGATGATTTTGTAAGCATCAATTGATGCTTAGATGATGTGTGTTGATCTCTTGACTTTGTTTTGCATTTATCTATATATGTATGATCAGAAATATTTAAGAAGCATTTGAAGGATTGATTTTGTTCAAAATAGATTTTCCAAACAACATATTTAATACTAAAATGTAATATTATAATATCTATATACGTGTGATCTATATATGTTTTTATATTATAAAAAATATTCCGATACTATATGATATGATGACAACACTACTAATCGATAAATGAGCCGTAGGCGATGAGGATATGTACTCGTTTTATAAAAAATTATTCGGTCTACTGTAACAGCTAGATGGTGAAGTGAATAAACTAAAATTTATACCAGTCTAGATAAACAAATTAATAAAGCTTTAGGCTTACATTCCAGGGATAACGATTACGATAAAAAAAATATTTCCAGATTATTAGCAAAGGTTTGTAATACCGTATATAAAAATATAATGTGGTAAACACTAAAGTTACATTATTTAGTGGAAAGTTGAAACTGCGCAGTTCGACTTTCCGCTAAATAATGTGACTTTAACATTTACCGTATCTGGATACACAGTATTACAAAAACTATCTATTGATATCTACTAACGATATAAATGTAAAAGGAAACGGAAATGGAAACTTCCTTAAAAAGATTTTTTTTATATAAAATATTAAATAGTTCATCTAAAAGGAATTAACTATTAAACTCCTGAAAATCTATTTTCTATAAGAATTTTAATATCTATTTTAATATCTATATATAAAAATGTAGAATTAAATTAAATATATAGCAATCATCAACGTTTATTGATCCAATCACCAATGTTTATTCATCAATAAAAGTGTCATAAAATATTCGTTTTGTATCATGCTTCGTCTAACATCATGTAAACTGGTGTCGAGACACTTGGTGTCGAGACCGTGCTCCTAATACTTTTTGAAGGTCGCAAAAAGTGATCGTAAAGACTTTTCACAAACAATATATTTAACATGTCAAGGATAATATGTACAAAAAATTAAAGAATAGACGTTCAGATATATAGAATAGACGAACAGCAAATTACCGGAAACATTCAAAGAAAAAAACTTTTAAGTTTAATTCTTCATGGATGTTCTCAAAGAATTTTGAAAATTCTCTTTTGAACAATAAACGACATTTATTTCTTCAGTGTATCCATTAATTGCATTATTAATACATTATTGTAACAAATGCATTAATTTTGCGTTACTTTAACTTGACGTATTCTTATTTAAAAATTTCGTACTTATATAACTTCGATATAATTTTACTCACTTTTAATTCAATTAGTTATGGAAAAATCAGTTAAATTAAGATTCAAATTTATCCAAGTTCACTGTTGCAGCATTATTACCACAAAATTTAATAAGTTACCAAGTTATATTACCATTAACATATTAAAATCACGCCGTTTTTTTTTTATTATTTGTTATCTTCCTTTTATAAATTATTCTGCAACTTTTATCTCGTATCATAAACGATATAACTTTGTGCCACGTAGACATATAATCTATTTTATCATTATCGGAATTGAAGAGTCTATTTTAAAAGTGAATACTTACCGATGATCCCTCAAATGATCCTGCCTGCGAAAAGCCTTCCCACATATGTCACACGAATACGGTCGCTCATCGGTGTGAGTCCTTTCGTGAATCAGCAGGTTGTAGCTCTTCGTGAACTGTCGATTGCAGAACTTGCATATGAATTGTTTCTTAGGCCTCTGACCCGTTGATCTTCGAGCGAGGAACGACGGAGGCTGCGGTGGCGGCGGTACCGGAAACATTGTGCCCGGATGACCCTGATAGTACAGATAAGGGCGTTGGGGGCAGCAACCCCTAAACGTTAAGAGGGCCGCGTCTTTCAACCAGTTACTGATAAGAGTGGTCTGATAGTTGCTAGCACTGTGCGTTGGCTGAAGATGTTGCGGATGGTGCTGCTGGATGTATCTACCGTTGAGAAAGTTTGATTTGGCCCATTTCGAGGTTGAAAAAACTACATGTTGTTGTTGTTGCTGCTGATGTTGCTGTGGATGTTGCTGTTGATGCTGATGCATCGATCTGTCGATCGTCGGCGGTGTTTGCGGTGGCGTTAATGGCTCCGTTTTCGTCTCCATTTGTATCCTCCTCGCATCCCCGAGCATCAAAAGACAAAATAAAATCCGACTGACGCGAAAATTAAATGACCTTCACTTTAAGAATGATCGATCGTGGGCGATCGACGCCTCGCTCGCGAGACCCACATTCGTTTCGAATTGGGAACGAAAGCGTGCAGTGACGAAAGCGAGCGCAGTCGAGAGGGAGAGAAAGGGACTCCGGAAAAAAAAAGGAATAAGAAGATATTTACTCGAGAGTCGACGCGATACTAAGCGGCTGAGTGCCGCAGCCGAGCCCAGAGGATCGCCGTTTACCTGGCGCCAACGACGACGACACGGTGGCTCCTCCTACCGTGTCTCGTACGCTGGATACGCCGGTTGGCGGCCCGACTTCCACAGGGGCGGAGCTTCCGGGTTGGGGTGACCCCGCGGGGCGTCGCGACGCTACCCATCCGTGGACAGCCGTGTTCTCCCGCCGCCGTCGTCGCCACGCGTCCGCAAGACGCCGGAGGGAGTGGATGGAGCTGCCGTAGAGGGGAGGGGGAGACATTTGATGTTCCGGCGACGTAAGTTGAAAATGTTACGCTGATGAGAGATGGAATGCGCGCGTGCAAAAGTGTATGCCACGCATACGTACGCACTTTACACGTACATATATGTTGGCTCGGTGATAAAATTTACACGTAATCTCGTGTAAATTAATGTAAGTTCGTCAGATTCGGATGCCACACAGATTGTAAATGGTGAACAATTTTGATTAAGAGAAGAAACACACCGGCTAGTGTATCTTTATCTCCTCGATTTAACAATAAATCTCTTATGCTAAAAAAAAGTATAGTGAAGCGTAAAAAAAAGTTTGCTGTTTAATGAATATTTATGTGTTCAAAAATTTAAATAAAATTCTCTTTGTTGAAGTATCGAAAAAACAAGCGATTTATAGAAAATTATTAAGGGCTCTTTCTATTCTCTTATGAGATGCGCTGGTGTGAGAAAAACTTTTCTCGACTACGATAAAATTATATGAAAAAAGATACATTACCAGCATTTCAATGGATAAATGACAATTTTTCATATGCGAAAGTAAATCCCCGCGCGTAAACGTATGTAACTGACGCGTACATATACGTGAAAATGGAGACAATTCTGTTACTACAAACTCCATTGCAGTCAACGGACGAGCATGTTTCCAGCATGATGCATCGGATAATCGACTCATGCAAGTTTTCATGCGAGCCAACCACAGAGTCGACGGGCGCGAACCACCCCTACCGTAGGGATTACATATCACGAACCATTAGTATATAAACAACATGGCGCCACTAGCATGTTTCGTAAAACGATATGAATTATCATCGTGTTCTAGTCGAATAGGTTTATATTTTTACTTTTAATATTTCTAAAAGTACCGATAAAAATTGTGGAAAAAATAAAATACATGAAAACATTCGTCTTCCATTATTTAAAGTAATTATATAAATTATTTAAAATTATTAATTATATAAAATAGTATAAATAATCAATAGAGAAAATAAATTTTTGGGAGGGAAAATTTTTATATTGATTATTTACTTTATTTCTGTAAAAAATTTAATATTAATTATATTATATATTTACTTGACAACAAGAATTTCTTATTAATTATATAATTTTCTATATAGACATTTTGTAATTATGTAAAAAAATTTAAGATTTTTTATTTTTCTGATTTTCGAAAGATAACGACAATAGATTAATCATTTTTAATAATAAAACCATTGTTTTGTCGTATATATATAGTTACTAATTGGGACAGGCACTTTTACTCTTAACATAATTCATAATCCATCTTCCTCGTTCTCATCCAATACTCTTTTCCGATGTATGGTCCAGTAATCTCATTATACGTTAACGATGCAGCACAGCATGATATTTGGGTTATCGATGCTACCGATACATTCGCTATGAATTTACATCAACGTCAAGGAAGATGAATCTTTACATTAAGCTGTATTAATGAGTAACAAACTGATGGAACCTGTTTGAGAAACGATTGATTTTAATGATATCTAACAAGTAGTTATTATCATACACATCTTAAATTATCGTTACATCTTAAAAATCGTTAGTACGTTGGAATTTAAAAAATTCTTATTAAGATAACGATAGTCACGATGTGTCTTTTAATTTTTTATCACTTAAATCGTTGTTTTTATATCTGACATTTAATATTAAACGCTTAATATTCAATGCAAGAGAGATAATCTTTATATTAGATAAAATTCAAAAGAAAGAAGAGAGAGAGAGAGAGAGAGAGAGAGATGTGATATTTAAGCTAAGGTCAGTATTCATAATCAGTTCTTATATTTATTCAAGATCTTAAGTTCGGTCTTGAGATCACGAGTTAATCAAAGAGCCACATTAGCGTCTTAAGGCATTACTTTAAGACGGTTTTGAAATAAGAACCGATTATGAATGCCGGCCTAAATGTGAAAAATGTATCTAATTTTAAAAACTTAATTTTTAAAAGGATTTATCCAATAAAAATATTTTGGATAATTAATTTTAAAATAATGAATAATTAATTTTAAAATACGCTGAGGATTAATATATAAAGTATAAAATGTATCCGGATTGCTGAAAATGACTCAAAATAGGGGCATCTCGCCATTCAATGCGACAGACTCGTGATCTGTAGATTCGGGTTTGATCTCATCTACATCGTGATTTTTCGCGTTTGCCGTTCAAATTCGGCATTAAAATAGATTCCCTCGAGTGTTGACAAATTCTAAGAAGTAAGAATACAAATTACTACCAAATGCAAAAACATAAGCGAGCCTTTGCTTCCCGAAAAGGTTAAAAAGTTAAAAATTGATACGCTATGACCTCTCAAATGGGATCAGAAAACCAAACCAGAGAATATACTATATAAGAGACTAAGACTCAAAATAGAGTCGAAATTTCAATTAACTGTTGGATGACATCATAATATCGCAATAAAAATGTTTAACTAAAGTTTTCACATAATTTTATTGCGCACGATTAACCGCGCTCTACTCTCATTAGCCTTGTTTGATTCTCCTTTAATTGTTTTAAAAATACCGTTTCGGTAAAATGAACACAAAGAAAGTCGATAATTAATGCGCGGCAAAATACCATGAGTAGTATCATTATCGATAACAATATGACATGTAAAGATTTATCTTATCCATTTATCGATTTATGACAGCACAGACAGTATGACACCGACGTAAAGGCATATCGACATTCGCGAGTTGAGAAGGAAGCTTTTGTCGATCGCGTGAAATGACGTAGGCGAGTTTATTTACAAAGATATTTCGGATACGCCGCTTCTATCATTTACAAACCCTTTAAATTTAATGTTCGATTTTCCTTTGGTAATCAATTATACTAATTATTTGATGTATAATCTTTAATTATTTTTATAAAAAATTAATAAATTCGTTTTTCCATTCACTTTTTAATAAATAAACACAAAATAATAATAAATACAACATCATAAACACTATTAAACACCTCTAAAGAATAATTTTTTATGTAGATAGAAGATCTGCATATAAACTTTTTTATTTTTGATTCTTTATTACACGCAAAGGATATCCAGGACACTTCTGCCTTATAAATTTGCTAAATATATAAATGCTTTTTATACATTATATGTATACTATTTAGCGCAAAATTATATATATTATTATCTTTATTACAAAATTTATAATAAAAAAAATTTACATTTATTTTATGAAAAGGACAAAAGGATGTCTAGAGAATATTATAAATCTTTATTTCATTGTAAATCATCAAACGAAATATTGAAAATTTTTATAATATGTTGGGATATCAGAAACATGGATAATTATGTTTAAAAAAAAAACCACACGCGTATAGGATATTTTTCTGAACTTTGCGAACTTCGAACGCTAGTACAGTGTTCTGCTCGTTTTTCCCGTAAATTCTTCGGACGTGCATAAAAAAAGCGCATGGGAAACTGACGGTATTTCACTGATCGCTTTTCGCCTGGAAAGTAATCTTGCACAAGGGAGGTATGCCCTGTAATCGTTATCGTTTCTCGATCACGCTGCAGAAATAGGATGAAGGGTTGGGGGAGAAAGGAGGAGTGAAAGGGAGAGAGAAAGAGAGAAAGAGAGAGAATAGAGGGAGAGACGACTCTTCGAAACCTGTCTCGTATAATTCCACAAAATGTTTAGCATACAAAGACAAATATAATGGTCGCCGAGATGAGGTTGCGACGAGATCACGGGCCCCGGGCGGGGATGGTTAATTCAGTTTCAAGCTCCATCAGGCAGGCAGATCCCCTCGCCGCCCGACCACCCCCTTCGCACGCTCTCGTCACCCCTGAAGCGTCTTTGTACGTCGCCGTCATCCATCTATCTCTCTCGTTTCCTCTCTTTCCCCTCTCTCTCACACGTACACACACGCACACGCGCGCACACGCGCACACACACACACACACACACACACACACACACACACACACATCTCGTTTGCGCTTTGCCACTCCTTGCAAAACTACACAGGTACTGGAACTACCAAATTGAACATATACTTGCTAGAACTTGCATTGCACCCTCTCTGCTTCTCTCTCTAACATCGGATTAAGGTTCCTTTGAAACGGCAGTATGTATTTATACGTCCTGAGATTTTTTACCATGTATTTTTTTAATAAAAAGAAACGTTAACAAATTTAAAACCATTTTTATTCTTCTAAAAGATACTCAGTTTAATATTGCACGTTTAATGTTGCGAGTATGCATGGGAGGTAGCAGAATAAAAAAACCGTGTAAAAACGTGCGTGTAAAAATGTATGTTTATTAAAATATATTTAACAGATCTGTAATTTATTTATAAATAAAAGAAAAATCTCAGAGTCAAAATATATATCATTCACATACATTGATAGGTAAAATATATCTTCAGGAAAGCGACCAGTAATTAGTCACAAGTAACAAGTATTTCCCGATAAGAACACAAATTCGCAGTGTTTACGTTGAATCTATATTTTACATGACTAGACAAAAATCCATTGGTGTAACCACATGTAACGTATTATGAAATGATGTCAAAATATCAAAATATTCAAATTTTAATGTGAATTATATAGAGTGAAAATTGAAGTAATTTCATTTAATTCCATATTACTATCCTCTACTTTTATCCCCGTTAAATTTTATTAATAATTCTACATGGATTATATG